TGGGGCTGAGGCTGAGAGAGAGAGAGAGAAAGAGAGAGAGAGAGAGGGGAAAAGAGATATATAGAGCGAACAGGAGAAGCATGCATTCACAGTGGCAACAACAGCCTCAAGATGTCGCTCCAGTTCATTCGTATTTACATCTCAAAGGGAAAACTCGCCACCTTTTGTCAGGAAGTTAAATCACTGTTGATGGTGAATTAAGTCGATTAAAGCAAGAAACATCCTGAGTGCGTACTGTACTGGACTAGAAAGCTGAGTTCTCCTGCCAGCAGAGCCTACATGTACCAGGATACATTGCGGGCCACATCGTCTCGCTAATACAGTCGCAGGCTGCATTTCTTTAGCCGTTTACTCGAGGCTCCAATAATAAACTGTCTGAATGTCCCAGACTACGTCAAATAACGCCGCTGGATGCAGGAAGAACAACAGATTTTGCAGCTGCCAACTCTTAGCTTTCTCAATATACAATTTATCGCTTCAATTACGTTTATTCACCATCAACAATCACTGGTCACTCACAGAAAAGGTGGCAAATTTTAACGCGACTCTCTCAAAACCTTGAAGGAAATCTGGGAATTTTCCAAGAAGCCGCTGGTTGAAAAACAGGATCTGAATCAATGAATTTTTATTTTTATTTTTTCAGAAAGAAAGCGGTTTAAACCAGCTGCGTCCTGACGTTTACGTCTGCCACATTTCTTTTTTTGCTGCAGGTAGACACTAATCACCAAAGTTTACAGTCAACAACATGTTCTTGTGACGGCGACAGCTCAGGAAAAACTTCTGGTAGTAAACAGTGGAGAGACGGATGGTTGAAAACGTGCAAATCAGCTCGTTATTATGCAGCAAAACACTTCTAAATCAAAGACGGAATAAATGGTTAAATAAGAAAAAGGTTGGAGTGCTGTTTTTTCTTTTAATTATTCAATAACTGGGATAAATTCCTAGATTTTTAGATACAGAACCACACAGAATAATGAGCCTTTGTTTGTTTCTCCAATAGAAACCCGCTTCAACCAGCCGGCTCTCGTCACACAGCGAGAGAGTAAAGACTTCCTGCAGGACTTTGAGTCTGAGTCGCTTCACGAGTCGACACAATGATACAGAAACAGCCGCTGGAGGCCGTTCTGGTAATAAATAAATCACATGGAGCAGCATTACGTGTGGATGGACGTGAGTCGGAGTGACACACACCTCTGCTCAGTCCGTCGGGCCCCCTGAGGATCCGGCACTCCTCGATCTGTCCGAACGCAGAGAACATGACCCGGATGTCGTTCTCGTTGCACTTCTTCGACACCATGCCGATGAACAACTTCCTGTCTTCCACCGCTGCAGAGTGGAGAAGAAGAAGAAGAAGAAAGGTGTGAATGGAGGAGAGGAGTTCACTGCACTTTTACAGCTTCGATATACAAATGTATCTCCGCCAGGCCTGTGAGGAGATCATGTGTCCAGTCCTGTGCGTGCGTGCGCTTGTCTGTCCATGGACTATCTCGCATACTACTGGACCCGTTAGCCTGATCTTCTTTTGTGCTCACTTACGACTCTATGATTAAAGAGTCGTAAGGACCACACGTTTTAATGACTCATTCAGGCAACCGGCTAATCGGCTAAGCTAAAAGCAAACATTACCTGGTCTGTTGCAGGACACATTTTGGCCTTTGTTGTGGCTGAACATCTGCAGATTAATTCCTTACCAGATATGTTATGTTCCACTAAAGTTAGGTTCGTTATGAGATAAAACAGATCCCTTGTTTCTGTTGTGCTTTGGTGCAATGTTGACTGTAAAGCAGCAGGGAGGGACAGCTGAGTGAGATTCAAATCCTCTTTGTTTGCGCGGGGAGTAGTTGAGTATTTCTTGTATTTCTTTTATGCAATATTTTCTCTGAATTGTGCATTTTGTTAAAGGAATGGTAAGATATTTTAGGAAGTTTGTTTCTACACTTTGTTGCAAAGAGTTAGATGCGAAGATCAAAGTAAAACGTGTATATTTGCAGAGAGCTAGGCTAGCTGTTTCCCTTTGTTTCCAGTCTTTGTGCTAAGCTAAGCTAACCAGCTGCTTCATATTTAACAATGTGACTCTGCAGGTATTTCCTTTGACTGCACATGTATTTGTTTGCGTATTGTTTCCCATTGCACTGGAATTCACTGCAACAATAAAATAAAATAAAACAGGGACGGAGAAAGAAAGAACAAAGAGAAAGAAATATTTTTTACACAAAGACCAAAAAAGTAAAAGATAAAACCAAAACAGAAAATGGAATGAGACAGAACAAAACACCGATCAAAAGAAACAAAGACGGAGAGGAGAGGGAGAAAAAGAGACAGAGGGAGAGAGATGAAGACAGACAGAGTTCATGTATTTCATCATGCCATCTGCGAGGCTCTGATCAATGTCTCGTTATCACTTCAACACAGACTGCTCGCTGAGACGCTCCAGCTTGTCTCCTCTCGCCCTCTTCCTCCCCTACCCTCCTTCCTTTCTTCCTTTATTGATTCTTCCTCCCTTTCTCCAGTCGTTGACACAATCCCTCCCTCTCCGGTGCAATCTCCAGGAATCCGGCTGCAGGTGTGTACGCTGAGAAGCTTGAGCTTCAGCGAGGTTCAGTGCCGAATCGCGCTGAGAGCGAAATCCTCAACGCTCGCAGAAACAATGTCAGTTTGTGTGTGTGTGTGTGTGTTTACGCGTTCCCACCGCATTCAATGTAATGCTAATCCAATTCATTTTTAATGAGGAAACTGTCAGCTCTTACCGCGAGGCGAAAGAGATAAGCGGTCTGTTGCACTCTGGGAAATCAATAGCGCACTTGTTTATTTTGCTGTTTGAATTGTTTGTGTGTTTAAAAGACAAACCGTCGGGATACGCTGCCAAGATAAGTGTTGTTTCAAAAAGCTTTAACTCCTTTGTACACAGTGTGTGTGTGTGTGTGTGTGCATCACTCCAGAGGAAGATTACCACAAGTCTAACAGCAATGTAATTAATTTACTCTGTGTCGATAGAAAAGACAGAGAGCAGATATCGTTACAATTGACTGGTTCTGTTTCTCGGACGAGGCGTGCAGGCGGAGGGACCCGATAAGACTCATGAAGCCGGCTCCGGGACGATCTGGATTCAGCTTTGCATTCTGGGAAAAAAACTGGAGCAGAACTGGCTTCCCGCTGAGCTTCTTTACACATTGAGAGGAAAGTGTAGCAAACAGAAACACAGCCACGGCACTAGACTCCTCTGTTATCACGTACATGTCTCCATCTTTTCCTCTCCTTCCATCTCCTCCACTGACTAAACTAATAAACCTCTGAGCAGCCATTCGTCGCTGTAACAGCGACTCGAACACTGGGTTTATTAAAGGTCATTACCATTAAGCGGATGGATACGTTACGTATGGTCTGCTCTATATTTCACCGTTCTGGCTGCTTTATTAAGTTCCCCCATCGTTACCCCGACGGTTATGTCTTATAAAGTCGTTTTTCGCCATATTTCAGCGGAGCGGATGATGGCTTTTATAAGGATTCCTCCACTGTCTTGCTGTCGTTTTATTGTATTCCCCCGCAGTGGACAGTCATAGAGCAGCTTGTGTCAGCCAGAAGGACTCCTCTCATGTAAAGTTATGGCAAAGCTGCTGCTTCTAGTTTTCTTTTTTTTGTATATATCAGGAAAACCTTTAAAAACTACCTGCAACTGGATTTTAATGGTCACGTCATCCAATCACGGTTTTATCCATTTGTCATATTCTGCTCAATTACTCAGCTTTAAGGGTCAGTTCAACCAAATTGCAAAAAAAAAAAATTCTCACTTAGCCATACTAATTGTTTCAGTTTCAGTTAATTTGCCAAAATGTTCAGATATCTGCTCTGCTGCAGAGATGTATTGAGCTCCTTCACCTTTCCTTTTTCTACCCGAGCTAAAAAACAACCCGTCAGCTGTGAGGTCTCAGGATTCAAAGCAGGAATTTGGTAGTTTATTAGATGTTTTTCTCGGGGCTCGGCAGCAAAACGTCTTCAAATATCCTCCCGTGAATGAAAAGCCCAAGAGGTCGAGGGGACCCCGAACATTTAGTTTGATTTTAGTATCGACGACATGCAATCTGCTGGAGGAGATCTGACAACAGCGGACAGCGAAGATGGGCCGTCTATCTAAGACATCATTGTCCGGAGGTTTGTCACCGTGACCTAAACTAGAGAATAAACTCTGCAGAGGCAGGAGAAAGAAACATACAGTGTGTGTTTTTACATTTTGGGTGAATCAAACAAAACCTCAAATTAGAAACGAAATCAGACTCAGTTTCGAGACAACGCTTGCTTTCCTCTCCCATTAAACCACAACTTTAATAACATTGTCTTTTAGTTTCCAAATGTACCTCGACTAAATATCACTGAACATAATGAACCTGACAAATCACCCTGAGTGTTATTGCTGCATCAAAACGGAGCCAATTAAAAACAGATTGGAATAATAGCGGCAACAAAATTCAAACCTTGTAAAAGTGGCTTTAAAGTAAACAGCGTCTCTGTTTTAACTTTTCTTTATATGTAAAATATATGTCAAAAAAAACTAACCCTAATGGCAAGTTCACGAGAATGGACTGGACGTACATACTTTCGGCCATCGGAGAGGCATAAACATAAATATTTATTTTATTTTGTGGTGAACTGTCCCTTTAAGGACACCGTCCGTCTCTGCTATTTACGTCCCACAGCTTCCTCGTCAGAATGACAAGAGGCTACAGGATCTGCAATATGTAGTTTGGAAACGGGGTGAACGGAGCACTGAGCAGTGTGTGACAGTGCTAGTGTGAGATACATGCATTAAAACCGAATGTGTGTGTGTGTGTGTGTGTGTGTGTGTGTACAGCGTGTTTGTATGAGCGAGCAGCCACAGGGGGAAAAGAGGCCGGTTCACCACGAGGCCAAAACGATTCAACTTTCTCCGACCTCCTTCTGAAGCACCTCAATAATTCATCACACATATAAGATATATTTATATATATATATCCCCCCCCCCCCCCCCTTTCTGTTCCTCACTTTGTCTCTCACTCAATACACACACACCCCACCTCTAGTCGAGCGGCGAGCAAACACACGGGTGAGATAGCTATTACCAAGCAAATTCAGAAAGGCTATTGATGCATGTGTGTGTGATATTGATGTGTCTGTCATTGTGTGTGTGTGTGTGTGTGTGTGTGTGTGTGTGTGTGTGGCCACTCACCGTTAGATTTCTCGCTGTCTGCAGGTTTCATCTGAATAGGGTGGTGCATCTGCAGAGACAGAAGAGAAGAACAAAATATATTAAACGCTGAACACAAACACACATATTTCAGGAGTCGCATATCCAGGTTTGGTTTAAACATTCGTTCACTTGTAGGCGTTTGCTTCTCACTCAGCCAGATGTACAATGTAATCACAAATCTGGTTCAGTAAAGGTGTTGGTGAAGCTTTGGCTTCACTCAGCAGAACCAGAGGTCGCCTGCTGTTCCTCCCCCTTTACTTCTGTTGACCCTGCTCGGACCACAACCCATCTTCACACCCAGCCTTCATTATGATCTCCACTACACACCTGTAGAGTTTCGTCACTGCTTCTCGCACGCTTGCAAAATCTGACCACAGACGTACAGAAAGAAATATAAACGTCTGGCTAGGACCAACAAGCGCCCTGCAACAGAATCCACACAGAGCACTCGCCTCTCTCTTTCTAACCCGACACACACACATGCACACAATATATAACTCCACACACACACACCTCGGCTCAGCTTCCTCTAGATCCGTTGGATCAGATTTGTCCAAAGGGAGGCTAGTTCAGGCCCACAGACGGAAGTGAGAACAGTCTCTCTTCAGCGACCCGTCGAGCCTACTGAGCCTAATAACGCCGATACTGCTGGATATAGCAGCCTCAGCTTTAGTGACGATAGCATGAGTTGTTGCGGTTGACGCTTTCAGTGCTACTCAAGGGTGGAGTTAAACTGCACCCTTTGGATTAATATTACCGTAATGTGGGCTGGACTCTCCCGAAACTGTGAACTTCTGGAGTAAATGACAATCAAGCATTCAGCGGCTGAACAATCCTTTCATCTTCTTTATCCGGTCTGCTGTGACTCCCCATTTTCTTAAAACCGAGGAGACGTTAAAATGTCGATTGAAGATGCGGTCCGGCCGATCAGGAGAAAATTCTGGTTGCAATGAGTACGATAGCGAGGTACAGATTGCATGTTCATACCAGGTGTACATGGGGTCTAATGGTTGCATTTCCACTCGTCTTTTTAGATACTGGATATCTCTCTGATGTGGCCAAGAAGCAGTTTAATGGAGCTGAATGATGGATGTGTTTTTAAGGTGTCGGTTCTTCTTTTATGGAAAACAAGAAAACACTTCACAGATGAGAAGGCTTTGTCACCTCTCTCGCTCTACCTCTACCTCCTTCAATCTCTCCTCCTCTGTCCCTTTTTTATTCCCTCCATCTCTCTTTCCTTTATAGGAGATTATGTGGCTGTTTGATCTGCGGGGAGACGAATGACAGTGATTCTCCAAATCTAGCCCGGTATCAATCACACTCAGAGTCAAATACCAGCAGAGAGTGTGAGTGTGTGAGTGTGTGTGTGTGTGCGCCCCGTCTTACCCATAATGCCCCTGGGCTCAGTCACGCTGTGACAGAAGGCTTTGATCTTCCAATTCTATCACACACCTTTATCCCAACCCTCTCCCTCTTGCTCTCTTCCTTATCATCCTCACTCTGCTTTTTTTTCTCCATTTTCCAGACCTGTCCCAGACACACACACACAGACACACACACACACACAATGTCTGTCCGTTGATGAGTTCTCAAACCTGCCTGATCAATGGCAATGGTGGAGGGGGGGAAACAGAGAACCTGACACTGCAGAGCATTACGGATTTCCTCCAAAATAAAACCAAAACCAAAGAACAAATAGACAAACAACCACAACACTGCAGCTATGAAACTAGCCAATCATGGCACAGCCTGTGACAAACGGTGTGAATTTTCTGATGGTTGAACTGTGATTTGTGATGCATTTAGGCCAAAAATGTCTGCACGAAGGGAAAGGAAAAGAAAAAGTACAGTAATAATAGTAATAGTAGTAATGAAATTTAAAGGAAATTCAGTGATGGTTGAATGCTTTAACTTCTAAAAATCTAAATCTAAACAGAGAAGGAAGGAGAGAAGGAAGTAACAGACGGTGACGGGGACATGGTGAGATAAAAAGGCTGTCTGAGAAAGACAAAGAATCAGAAACAGAAACAAAGAGGAGAGAGAGAAACAGAAGGAGGGAAGAGGGCCGAAGACACTGGACAGACGGGGATAATAATGGTGGCCGCTTCAGGCTGCAGCCTCACTAAAGTATCACTAACACAAGGACAGACAGGGACATGGGTGAGATGTGTGTGTGTGTGTGTTGAAGCCACATCAAAAGAAAGAGAAAGTCACGTCAAAGTAAACCTGGAAGTCACATCAAGTCAGTCCTCGTTAATCCCTTTCAAAGTCTGTCCTCCAAAGGCAAAAAACAAAAAACAGGAACCGCCGCGCCGCCGTCATTCACTCCTGAAAAACACAGCCAAAAGCTGCCCCCCCCCCACACACACACACACACACACACACACACACACACACACACACGTAAAAGAAAAAGAAAGTCTGTCTGCTATTCAGGCGTCTCCTCCTCAGGTCTGTCTGCCCAGAATGCCCGGCGGGTTCTAGGGGGGGCGGTGCTGTTGACACGTTTGATCTCGGCCGAGCTTCCGCCGAGGTCCCACAGCGCCGGGCTCTCCTCGCGCTTTCCCACAATTCCACAGTGCCGTTTCTTCTCTGCCCGGCAGGCCCCCACGGCCGCAGTCTGCCATTCATTATGCGCTCAGCGGGATCCCGGCAACACCACTCAGTCCTCGCCGCGCTCGGGGCTCATGAAAAAGCACAAAGTTACACCACGTAGAGCCGTGTGTGCAGCCGGCAAGACGCTGCGCTGGCATTTACCTTTGCACGTGTATCTGTCTAGTCAGGAGGCCTCTTAATCTACTTCCTGTCTCCCAACAACCCTTCTTCTCTTCTTCTCTGCCCCGCCTAGAACTCACTTTCTAATAATCAATCAGAACACGATTTACAGGGCGGCTGCACAGTTAATGACGTAAGCGTGCATCTAATGTAATCTCCTGGATGTTGGGTAGCTTATTATCTGCTTGTAACGCGTCCGCGGTGCACTTCAAGTGGAGTGTCGTTTTTTTAATCATACTTGAATTTGCGTTGTTACAAACTGCAGCTGTGATTGACTGAGTCACGCTGGGCACCGCTTTGAAAATCGATTAACATTTCATTAAGATGTTAATGTGCAAACTCACACCGCTAACAATGAGCGGACGAGCCGCCGTGTTGCTTAATAACTACTTTGGCGGGAATAACAACTCCTGTTTTTTTTACTGCTCTACAATTACTGCAGAGCAATGTGCTACATGTACTAGCCCGACTGTAAAGTTGTTATATTATCTGGATTTATAGTTCGTTGAGCAGCAGCTACATGTGCAGCAGAGTCGGCGGTGTTTGTTTGCTTATTCGTGTCGAAATCAAATTTGACTTAATGACTGCATTCATCTTACGCGGGCGGAGATATTCTCATTTGGCTCAAGTTCTTTGGAGGTTTGGAGTTCTTCCTCCTGACGGAGAGCTTCATAAAGTCTTCATCATAGCCAGCTCAGTAGATACAATATCTCTCTTATGTCCTGTTAGTTTTAGCCATCGGCTAACACTGAACTTTGAGTTACATGTATGTGAACGTGTAGTGTGATTGTGAATGGATCGACTTTCAGGATGAACTGTGAGTCAAATAATTTAATAAAAACTTAAATCCTCGAAAGTGAAAAATAATCCCGTCAGATTTGAATCACTGCGACCTCGTTTTTTACTGCACTATAAAGGATCAGTAGTTGGAAAATCAAAATTGGAAAAAAATGATTGTATGAACACAACATTTTTCCAAGTGTCCACAATGTTGCCAATAATGTGGGTAAATGCTCCACATGCTCTATATAATATATAATGATCTATTTAAATGTAACAACCTCTCCTGCCCTCGACTCTCTAATCTCTACAAACAGCCTGCAGTTCAGTCGAGTTTCGTTGAATTGTTGTCACGTGACTGTTGCTCTCAGCCGAATCACTCGAGGCTTCCCAGTTGCACTGAGGAGCGCAGAATTTAATGTTTTTTACAGGATCTGGTTACTGCTAATGGTTTGTTTTGGGCACAATTTTAAATGAGATTAAATATCATAATTTCCATTTTAGATTTGGTTATTTTCCCCAATAAAAGCTTTTGTAACACATGATTCTACTGAAAACCATTAGAAAGTTTAATATATCCAACATTCATTTCTGTTTCTACAGCTTCTTGCTATGATATATGATGTATTATTACATTATTATATGTGTTACTACAAGGTTTTGTCGACTTATCCTACTGGCACATTGTCACAGTTCAGCTCCACACCCTCCCTACTTGTCAGTCACTCCCTCCTCATCAGTCTAAACTCCCTTCACCTGTTCACTCACCTGCCTCTGATTAGTAATCAAGCCCCTCTATAGACTCCTGCCTCCCAGACACATTTGCCAGATTGTTCTTTGGTTCTATGCCAGACTCTCCAGCACACTGTCACGGACTGCTCTCCTGTTACCGATCCTGCCTGCCCCTGTTCTACCCGCCTTGCCTGACTCCCGGTAAACCCACCAGCCTTCTGATCCTGATCTTGATTAACTCTGCCTGCCGTATCTGGAAACCCTGCCTGCCCCTGTTCTACCTGCCTTGCCTGACTCCCAGTAAACCCACCAGCCTTCTGATCCTGACCCTGTTTGAACTCTGCCTGCTATATTTGAAGTTAGTAATAAAAGCCAAAGATCTCTGGAATCCTGTGTGTTGCATTTGGGTCCATATACAACCCGTTACACACATAGAAACATTAGCATTCATTTAGCATCCGTTTTTATGCACCTGACAAACGGAAGTCCAATATTCACTCTCCTTTAGCTCCGTTTCTGGTCTCCACTGACTCCTGAATAAAATATCTGGCTCTTCATCTGCTGTTTGGCGCCGAGCAGGAAGCGGTTTTACCAGGGCTGGTTTAATAATAAGAGGCCGAATCAAACAGCAACTGTGCTGTGAAAGCAAAGCGATGATGAGCGAGAGCAGCCTCTGTGGGTTTCGTCACTATTAACAATAAAATATTGAGTAACTGACCTAATTAGTCTGTGAGCATGACA